CCATGTGTAATATTTTTGGATCGTTGAAGTCGAAGATATGTTTGTGTTCAAAATGGTGGGCAGCCAGTGTTGTAGGAATTTGTTTGGGTTTTTCATAGGTATGTTGCTTTACCCTTTTGTCCTGATATTGGGATTCACGATCTCCAAATAATCTATACAAGACATTACTGCGACCACTGGGGCCTAGGAATGAACCGGGATTCCGAGAGGTTTTCAAATGTTTACAGCACATTCACACCTTCAAACTAAAACTCTCTGACAAATGGTTTAAGGCCCTTACTACGCCAGAAATCTCACTATCCACAGGACCTCTCCATTCCTTTTATCCCTGAAATGATCGGCTCCTGTTTCAAAAATAGCAAGCCTTCGATCCATCCTAACCCTACTGCCCAAGTACTTTCCCATGTAAAAGAACACAACTGCTAAATTTTAAATATTACCCACCTATGAATTTTAATTAGTATTTTAAGTGATTTGTAATTGATGGGAAATTTGATTATGTATAATGCAGTATCGCATAAACAGAAAACGTATATACAATATGTACTATTTTATTCCAATACTTAAGCAGTGCAATTTTTGTTAAGCAAAATACATAAGCTAAATAGAAATATAAAATGCTGTATAACTATGTGAAAGCTTCATTTTGTTTTACGGATTTAAGAATATAACAATTTATTGAATTATTTTGGTTGTTACAATAATATATTCGTCGGGTTTAAACATTTAATAGTAATCTACTTTCTATTGCAACCCTGTTCTATTGGGTAAAAGCCAATCAAAGCAATAAATATTGTTTGTCAATTAAGATTTTTATAGCTTTCGTAATTTCTATTGGAAGAAACATCTGTGCTACTATTTTAAAAATACACTGCCTCATTTATGTTTAATTGTGAAAGAAATCCAATTTAAGGTTGCAACTGTGTCTCTTCTGCTAAAACTGTGTGTCTTGTCTCATTTAGACCTGGTGTTGTGCAAAAGCCGCATGTCCGTATAATAAATTAATAAAAATAAAAATCATATTCCTTATCCATTGGCGTGGCGAATCCGAAATAGTAAAAATAATTGCAACTGTAGAGTTTTCGCTTGTGATGAACTATATAAGTTCGTTGTCAATTTTTTACGAATTGCATCAAAACATAAATTATGTGCTTAGTATGTCATTCTATTCTTTATAAAATATACCTTAATAAGGCAAAATAAAATATATAGAAATAGCTTCGATGAGGTTGCAAAATAAGAAAAACCATTTAAAATTGGATAGGATGTTTGATTAATCCAGTTATTTGCGTATAGTGAGATATATATACAAATTGATTGTATTATTTTCCAGGCAGAATTAAATTTCGAATGACAGAATACGATCGCTGGAATAACACTCCCGGCCCGGAGTTTTCCAGGAAAGGCAATAAGTACGTTTGAAAGGATTTCATTGACCCCGAGCAGACAAAAGATTGCCTAATGAATGGAACCAAAAACTTAAACCGGCTTGAATTCTCGCCCTGGAAAATAACTTTTTTCCCCTCACGGGCCAGGGAAACAAAAGGATTTATTCATTTGCTATTCACTGTTGACCCTTTTTCGAGTGAGACCCTACTTAAAATCGGCTCCCGCCTCTTTTGCCCCCGAAGCCACATAACTCTTTTTCCCTCGGAGCGTCGTGGCGTTTCCTAGTCGGATAATTATTCATCGGCTCTCCTAATTTTAATTTAAGATCCCTTGGTGGATTGTGGACCGGTCGTTTTACTCTGTACATCTGTACCTTTATTATAATTTTACGTTTAACTTATCTTCTGATTTTAAAACTGTTATGCCTTTGAATACTTTGTGCAGTACATTAAATTTCAAATTATTCTGATGGAAAATCATAGAGTTATATATGTCTAGAAGGAGTTCTTTAAATTACTAATTTATTAATTAACTTTTGCCTCACTTTTCAGAGAATACTAGACTGTAGTGTGTATGACTAAATTATGCAGAATCATAGATTATAGCTTGTAGTAGTTTGGTTTTTCACTTATTATCCAGTGATGTTTTACATGGTGCAGATTGTATATAGATGAATATACTAATACTTTTCTTTAATTAAATAATATTCTTACAAACTTTTTTCAATTAATTATTCTTTTTATTTAAGGTCTGGTTGAGATGAAAAGTTAGTGTCTCGAGCGGGATTCGAACCCACGACCTTCGGCTCAATCCACCGGTGCTCTAAACACTTGAGCTATCGTGACTTCGATCCACTGGGACAACTCCTCATTTTTGATCTCAACCAAGACCTTACATAAAAAGAATAATTAAATGAAATAAGTAATGGTAATTGAGATAAGTTAGATTAATCACTGTTATTTTAACTCAGGAAACGATTTTTTTATGTTATCTGTACAGAAAATTTACAATAATATTCACGTGTCAGCTCGTATTCATGGTTTTGGTGCAGTCCTTTGTGAAATAGGACAATTTATCGTTGTTACAAAATTCTGCACCTGTTTTCTGAGGTTCAGTTATGCATACTTGATATTAGGCAAGGTGGCAGAACAGTTACAACCAAACAAGGACTTATTTACAATCTGGCATAGTATAAAATATTACTAGAAAGAGTGATGAAAAATCCCATGTGTCATATTGTATGTGAGCAGTTTATATTTTTTTCCCTTATACCACATGCTCATACTATATATTTTTTTCTTTTCCAAAACCAGACAAATTTCAGCGGAGATTTAGTCTGAGGCGGGGCTGAAAGAATATTTAACAAGACGGCACTGAGAAGAAAGTAACTGTGTTTAATAAAACAATTCCTGTGTAAAAAGTTTCTTGGCACTTAAACAACGGTCGCTTACATTCTTATGGAAATTCAGATTCGGATGGGAGAATCACTTCCGTTGGCATTCTCCGCGGCTTGGCGACTTCCTGCTGATTGTTGTCGGTTGAGACAACCGGCCTCCGGGATCCCGATGTTCCGCGTTTTATCTTTCTATTTAATAGTTTCCATCAACTTTAGACAATATTTTGCATTCAAATAGACATCTGAGAATACAGACTAGCCCAGTTTCTTTGCTTGTACGGGAACAATGAAAAGATGAAAAGAATGAATTGAGCAATTATGAATAGTGTGACGATAATAGAAAAGAAAAGACAGAGACAGTTAGAGAGAAAATATAAAGGAAAAGGATTGTGAGAGAAAGCGTGAGAGAGAGAGAGAGAGAGAGAGAGAGTGTGAGAGAGAGAGAGAGAGAGCGAAAGCAAGATGGGGGAGAGAGATGCTGTATAATCTCATGAAAATTGTCAAAAATCATAGTTAAATTTGTAAATCATTTGTGTAAAATAGTTGTGGAGTCCAGGAGGCGAGGGTGCAAATCTCACACCCACTATTCCCCAATCGACGCTCACACACTACTCTAATAAGTACATTGACGCTAATAAATACATTCACTCTCTACGCACGCTAGGTACACAAGCAACTATCACTATTACATAAAATAAAACAATCCTGTTTCCTCTAAAATCGGAACAGGGGACCCAGATACTAGCTGCTGTGCTCACGCATGATTCACATGTCGGCCGGCATTCCTGCACGCTCTCTAGATGGAGCCAAGTAATTGCAACCCTCAACTGGGTGGGACACGTCGAGCAACCGGACACCTACACGGCTCTGGCCGAAAAGTAAGTGTCAGTGAATCAACCTGGCATGTCATTTGGCCGACTTTGCTTACCGTCTTACCGTCTAACTCGATTCAAAACTCCTCCAGTCATAGTCTCGCAAATGGAAAATAACAATGAACGAAACTAAATTTACCTGCATAAAAAAAACAAAAATCTGCTTATCCTAGAGTATCTTTCATTGAAAAACCCATACCAACATCCGATAATATGAACTACCAGGGACTATACATTGACAAAAGATTAACGTGGAATCCCAATGCTGAAAATAAATTAAGCAAACCGATCCTCGAAATTACTCGTTAATCAATTCACTAGTTTCGTGGTCCGCTTGACCAATTAACATATTACAATTAATTAAGGTTTTCAGTTGAGATAAAAAAGTTTTTAATTTTCATTTGTTGCCATTCATTTGCCAATTTGAAAAATGGCAAAAAGGAGGGAAAATTCAAAAGGTGTGGTTGAGATGAGAAGTTGATGTTCGAGTGGATCGAGGTCACGATAGCTCAAGTGTTAGAACAGCAGCGTATCAAGCCGAAGACGTGGGTTCGAATCCCGCTCGTGCCATTGACTTTTTTATCTCGACTTAAAACCTTAATTAATTGTAATTACTCCTTATGTTGCTCGATTGCTACACCTCATAAACAAACCCATTATTTACAAGACCCTCCTGAGAACAGTATAAACATGCAGAATGGAAGTTTGGATGTGAACAAATAATCCAATTAATAATAGAATTCAATCAATCGAACTCGCCTTACTACATTATAAACCAAAAATCCACAATGCATTGATATTATGAAATTCCGATTACAAAAAACTCATCGAAACTAAAACAATCACCCAACTTTACTGTCCAACTGCAAACTTGTCTAAGCATTCCTAGAAAACTCACACATTTTTAGAAGCGGTAATATCCGAAAGTTCTCTTGAAATATGGATACATTGTCTCTATGTGAGGGAGACACACAGAATCCATTTTAACTTTGAAACCATAAGCAAAAATCTATAATATATGCACAAATCATTATACAAATTCAATCACTCTATTATCTTAATAATTAGAGAAAAATATATTTTATGACAATATTAATATTTCAATACATCACATAAATAGATAAATCCGTAAATTTACCAACAATTTCTAATACGTATATTTTTAATTTTGTTTTTGTATTATCAATGGACGTTTTTGGCGTCTTTTCGACTCCCTTTCAAGAACTTTGCCTCTTGGACTTCAAGACTGACATGAATATACTTGATGTACTTATAAATACTTTTATCGTATTTTCATAATGGTGTTTTTATTTGTAATAAAAATAAAAATTGTTTTGTTACAGGTGTCAATGTCGAATGCTAGCCAAGTCGTACTCAGCAAAGTCGGATTCAACCTTTCCGGCAACCTCAGCTGCGAAGTAACCACGGATTCACCTTTTTTCAAAACAGCGATGGTGTCAAACGAGCTCATGGTCATCGGTGAGTAGTTAAAAACAATCAATGTCATTCAAAATAGATGAGAAAATGTAAGTTAACGGAGTAGAATTGTTAAATCAATTTTATTACTACGTGCTATTGAATTTATGCCTTTTTTTATTAATACGCGCAAAATGGCGACTTTTGCCGTATTAATAATAAACTTTCACTCAAGTGACAAAGTAGTGGAGAGACGGAAATTGTGCCGAAAGTATTTTACTCAACTTCATAGGAGAACCCGAGTCGTGGAAGTTAAAATGATAAATGAACATTGAATGAGTTTCGTTCTGTTTCTGAAGGAAGGAGTTTCCTCTGATCTAAGACTCCCGTACCTGCCCCTCGGAATTATGGGGTTGTGGAACATGAAAAATGTATTATTTTTATGCGACCTTTGGGCCTCGGCTGACTTTTGATTTCTAAATATTTCTGCGGAGTTTCTTTTACCTGTATTTTACAGTTCCCTCCTCTGTTATTGAATCAATTTATAAATTACATAAAGTAAACAAAAATGTATAGAACATAAACATAAAGTTACTTTCTACCCGAATTTTAAAATTGTGACTACTAGGAGAATGAGAGAAAAGTTACAATTATTACATTTAAAAAGTTACAAGAATTACATTTAATATATTTTAGTTGTATTTTTGTATTCTAATTTTCTTAAATTCATAAGGGTCCTCCGCTGATAGACACACCAAATAAATAAATAAAAAATTTCCCTTTGTGGCTACGCATTGTGCTATATATATCATTAGTCAGTTTTTGATGAGGATCAGTCAGGAGTGTAGAAGAAAAATAGAAAAATGATGTTTATGTTGCTGCCTAAGTTTATGTTTATTCGTATAAACTAATTTTGCACCTGCATTTTCGCTTCAGAAGAAGGGTCAATAAAGACCTGAATCGACAGGCAGAAAAGTGAATTGTTTTTCGTTTTTCTTCTTCGCCTGCTCATAATCATGAGCTCATCCTCATCCCTAACCATCAAACTCTGACTAAAGAAAAGCAATGTCATTCTCAACAGATATATACTATTTTAAACTGGCCTTATAATAGTAATAATAATAATTATAAGTATAATGATCGAAATAATGTAATAATATTAGTAACAAAAATACATAAAATTATCATATAAATAAATGTACTCCTATATTGTTAAATGAAATATTTGACAAAACGTGATATAAATAATATTTTTCATAGTATATTATTTATTCATGGCCTGTTTTGATTGAATATTAAATAATGAAATTGCTGTTTTAACTAAAAAAAAAAAAAAAAAGTTTTCCATAGGTACATATTTTATTTGTATATTTTTGTGTGGGAAGTCGGAACTGTCAATATAAAAAAGGAAAATATGAACGAATTTGAAAGTAAAATATAGTTGTATGAATATTCCTCAGAGGCTAGACCCTGGGATTTGGTCGTCCCGACGGTTTGGAATATTCAGTTTTCTCCTTCGATCCGAAACCGTAAGGGGGCACTCTTGAAGGAGAAAATCGTAATAAAAAATTATTGGTTAATTTTAAACGTTCCGAAGTAAAGAAACAACTGTTGAAACAATTACAGTTCTTTTGTCCTGAAATTAGAACGGAAAAATGTAACTTAAAGCTTTCCACACCTCAAGCGGTTTACGTGTTAAATGGTATCATGCACAATGAGGTTCCTTATGGAAATATTTATAAAACTATAAATCAATAAATATTGCAGAATCCTGAATGGAATTTTCCGCAAGAGAATAAATAAATCAACCCTAAAGCACTGGGGTTCAAGAATTAGTATTCATAACAGTGCTTGCCTGTCTGCTGAACTGAAATAAGAGCGACCTTGTACGTAAAGCCCCCCCATCTTCAGCCTTCAACCCTTGATCTTAGTGCACCCCTTATCAAGCCAGCCCTAAAAGCGAATTCTGGCCAAATAACTAAATGCCTCGGTCGACAATGTTTTCAGGGCAATTAAACAGCTAGTATTTCAAGTAGTAATTTTTGAACGAATATCATCGTTTTACTTAAACCTACATAATTTCAATATATACAGGGTGAATTGCTACTCGTGCTACAAACTTCTCCAGTAGATTCTTCACCCTAAAATGAACAAAAAAGTTCATATTGTCCATGGTCCGATTCNTGTATATATAAATTGATAGGCACGATTTAGATGGTTGTAAAATTTCCGCTGTGTTGGCTCTGATGATTTTAATAATGGATTAGAGCTCTTAGTAAGACGATAATAAACTGCAAAAACAATGAAAACTAGAGTGTCCTAACATAACAAGGACAGTGAACACTTTATTTGAAATTGCACTCCATCTCCTACCTTTACACATTCGTTTACAAAAGATGGGTTTCGAAAGCATCAACAAAGTCATGAGACCGCCCAGGAAACAAAACCAGATAAAGGGTTATTATTATAAAATTCTATAAACAGTCGAGATGGCTTTAACGGTACTTGTCAAAATGAGAAAGAAAGTTCAAATCTGATAGACCCTTCTTAGTGATCATAAAAAAACAACGATCTTTGGAAGAAAGTCATCCATAAGAATCAGCAAGGGGCCTTAATATGGTACATTGATTGATCAAAGACAGATAGGAATAATATGTGTGTAATTATTTACACCCTTATAAAACGACGTGGGCTGGTTCAAACTGACCTATATGCGATCCAACTATGTCCACAGTAGTTGAAGATTATGAAAAAAAATGGTACAGTCAACGCTTAAAAATAACACAAATGTCAAGTGAATAGAATAGAATATTTTATTTAATTTTANTGTTTTTATCTATAGACATAAATATGTAATCAGTACTGAAAATAGTATGCGACTTACTAGAAGAAACACCTCACACGTATATATTTAATGTGCCCTTTTACGAAGAAATGTGATCAGGGTATACAGATCATTTGTGTTTTGATTTGAATAAATCAGAAAAGTGTATTTTTCCTAGCACGGTGAGTTGACGATAAGATGTTTTATTATTTCTGAATGAATTATTGTTCACTGAACTATTATTCCAAAAATATAACTTTCATTTTTCTATCACTGAAAAGATGAACTAAATAATTAGGAGAGGGGATATCTATAGGATACTGGGTGACAAACCTGTACTTAGTCGTTATCGGTCATTTTGGTATGCCTATCCTCGCTACGATAAGTTGGTAAGACCAAATTTCAATATACCAAATATCAATACCTTTGATTTCATCTAGAATTTCAAGGAATTCTTTTCGCTTATTAATTGATTTTCCTCGTTCGTCTTGCACCCACAGTCTCTCACTCTTTCTCTATCTCTCTTTCTCGCACTCGCGAGACTCATTCTCTCTAATTCTCTCACATTCTCTCTCTCACTCTTCCTCTTTCTCACTATGTCTTTCTCTAAGTTTCTTGCTTTCTTAGTCTCTCTCTCTCTCTCGCTCTATTTCTATCTCTTTTCCTCTGCGTTGTTCTCTCTCCCTCTCCCTCTATCTATCTATCTATCTATTAGTCTATCGATATCTCTCACTACTTCTGAAATAATATATGAAGCATGAAAATATAAAGTGCAATTTGAACGATCAAGCATATAATTAATGCAGTATTATCAAAAATTAATAAATATAAATCAAATTGTTAAATGTCATAAAATAAGTTTAAAGAAAAGAGTTAAATGCCTTTATTAGCTATATATTATGAATGTTCCAGCATAAATCCAAAATCAATTCGATCATTAATTCCAGGTGATTTAAAATTCTAATCATGTAAAATTAATGTTGTGTTAACTGTTTAGTCTAGGAAATTTCGTTAATTACGATCCAACCTGACAATTAACCAAAATTAACAAGGAAGACGTATTATTAAGCACACGCTTTTATCTAGAATGAAAGCTGAGAGGCATTTGGCTCCAATATACAGCTACGAACGCCATAAACTTTAGGCATTAGTCTTTACGAAACGGTAGCCGTACAAGGGCTAACTGTTCACAAAAGGACCTCTCCTGACATACGGCCACACATGCTCACACATATGTTCCCACGTAGTTAGTGTTTGATTGCTCGTAAAATGAAGAAAAACAAAAAAGTTTTTCCTCGGTTTATTTTTCCTAGAAGAAAAAACGTTTAAAAAATGAATTTGTTGTATCTACATTGTTTATTCGCCAATTTTTGTTTCTTTTAATATAACTGAGATAATTGTTTATTAATTTTTCAAACAATTTACCTTTAAAATTAGTATTTTTAATTTCTTAGATTGATGACATTTCTAATTCCCGACGCTTATTGCAATTATTGAATTTTCGTGATTCATCCATTTACGACCTGTCAAGAATCTATAGTTGTTTCTTTGATAAGTCATTATCAACAATTTTAGAAAGAGTGAGAGAGAGAGGAAAGAGAAAACAAAGTAAGAGTGAACAAAAGAGTAAGTCACACTGCCCATCAAAAAACCAGGTTTTTGCACGAAAAAATGGCCAATTTTAAAATGCATATTTTTCTCTGTATTTTAAGACACAGATCTGCACTTGTCTTATAATTTAGAAAATTTTACACCGAACAAGATGTATTTTTAAATGTTTTCCAAGCTTCAGTCATTCATCAGTAAATTTAAATATTCGTACATTTTGAATTTACTGATGAACGACTGAAGCTAATGTGTATTAGATAAAAAAGGTATTTTCAATTTGTTACCACCAGAGATTTCTAGCGAAAATTAACTTTGGGTTTATATTAGACATTTTTTGCTAAAGTTAATTGTTTTCGAAATAAGAGGGTGGCCCATCTTGTCACAAAAAGAATCCCCCCTCACGCGTCTGCCGATGGGCATAATTGTTGGTTGTTGCTTANTATATATATGTGCCCATTAATGAAGGAAAGGTGTATACGAAATTAAAAATTAATTTAGAACTATTCAACAGCTCAACAATTTACAAAGCCTATGTGATCAGTGATTAATAGAACAAATTATTCAAAGCACAATTTAAAAAATAATGCAAGGTAAAGGTCCCGGGTTCGAATCCAGCGGCCCTCCATTGTGT